TTGCCTGCTAGACCCTAGTTGGCGGCTGTAATATCATTGCAGCCATGCGTACCTTCATTGCTTCCGGTGATCCGTGTGCGGATTGCAAATGATGATGCGGTTGCTGTTGTTGGCCTTGTTGTTGTTGTTGTTGTTGTTGGTGGTGGTGGTGGTGATGTTGCTGCTGCTGTTGTTGTTGTTGTTGCTGCTGATGATGATGAAAGCCAGCTGGCGTGGTATAAATGGAATCACCCTGTGGCCCACTAGTACTGTCCGAACGTGATTTCAAATCCGCTTTTTCACTACAACGCCACAGCCAAGTACGTGATGCGAAGACACACGAAGACGAAGACGTGAACGTATGAAAGCAAATAGAAAAGAAAGAGAATAAGATGATTAAAAAAACGTTGATTAGTTTGGTTGCGAATTGTGTGCGTGTGTGTGTGTGTGTGTGTTGGTTAATGCAGTCAACCCTCAAGCCAAATGCGCGCAAATCGTAAGACTTGATGACAAAAACTTTAGCCGACAATTGGCAACACAATGAAATAAGGGGAAAAAAATGTAATGGGGAAGAGCTTAAGAGCTTTTATTTAAGCTGCAGTGTGGTACGAAAAAATACGAAACAAGTAATTTGTAAACAAAAAGGCACAACCGACTTTAATGCTCGTATACAATATTAGGAGTACCGTTATTTTCTTCGTGAGCCTTTCAGCGGAACTAAACCAAGTTAGTATGGGACCACCCCTGAAGTACTATCTTTCCGATAACAAAAATATCGAAAACGGGTCATGTGGTCCTAAGTAAGAAAAACTTTAAAGAATGAACAATACATACAAATAATTCAATTGGACGGGATAGAACAAAGATGGTACTAGAGCGGTTATGGGCGCTGCCTTGCCCGCGGGCAAAGCTCTTTTAAGCTTTTTATACAATTTGTATAGGCGCGTTCTGAGTAAAAGCTCTCTCTGCCCATCGCTGTATTAGCGCATATTAAAAAGAGCTCATAAATATTTCACGCTCACACACGTTCTTTATACGTTTGACCGAGTTTTGCCCTGATTTTTGCTCTATTCAGTGTGACGCTTCACCCTATACATATGCATGTAGGTAGGTGAATGCTTTTAATTTAGCGGCCGATATAGAGAAATAGAAACGAATTTTACGAAAAAACATCTGAAATTCGAAATGACGAATTCTTACTTTTCGCCCATTTTATTTTCAATATCATGGCTATAACCAGTTCTTGAATTTGTAGGCTTACAATTAATTAGGCTACTTTCAAGGCTTGTTTTAAATTTATTGACATCATGGCTGTGGTGGTGTATGGCGCGGATGCATGGATATCTGATGAAGCAGTTCGTGGAGTTTTTGAGAAAAAGATTCTGCGCAAGATTTATGGGCCTTTGCGCGTTCACAATGGCGAATGCCGCAGACGATATAACGATGAGCCGTCGTTCGTGTAGAATGTATAGAAACGCTCTAGCTCCGAAAGTATTCAACGCGGGTCGAGATGCTGATAACAGAGGAAGAGGAAGGCCTCCTCTGCGTTGGAAAGACCAGGTGGAGAAGGATTTGGCTTCACTTGGCATTTCCAATTGGCGTCAGTTGGCACAGAAGAGAAACGACGAATCGCTTTGGCAGTTACAGCGCCAATAAAGAAGAAAAAGAAGATGGAAGTGAGAATTGCTTCGGCTTTCTTAATCCATAAATCTGCCAATGACCAACGCCAAATGATGCACTAAAAAAGAGTTGCCGATCTCTGTCGGGCTTCGGTAAAGACTGATATTTCACTGGGAGGCCTGTACAGACCAACGTGCTCCGGATATTCCAAGAATGAAGGAGCCGGGAGTTAGTTAGTTAGTTACTGGACTCCACTTAATAGTACAGACATCTTCTTAGACGGCTCGAAGTTGGACGGCAAAGTGAGAGAACAGTTTCCCAATTCGCTTACCGTCCCACTAGTAATGTTTCAAAGTTTAGGATTTCACTCTAAACTCGACAACGAAACAATGTGTAAGGACGTTTTCATTTTGAGTGCAATGCGGTGATCTAAGCTCTGAACTTCGTCATTTAAAAGCAGGAATAATAAAATGACAGGAAAACTTTGTTCAGGCGGGATTTTTAATGTTATTTGATGATAAATATGCAGACGGCTCGGACCAGTATTTCAGTAGATTTCAGAAGAGCTTAAGTCTTTAATGAGATACTGTCGGTAGGGTAAATATGCAATATTCCACAAAGACCAAAAAAAAAAAAAAAATCGCCGTACACTCCTAAGTCCTGCAAGGAAATTAAATTTTTTTTATTTTTTATTTTTCTTTGTAAAACGTACATTCGGCAAAAAAAGATTTATTAGTTCTACTGGTGTAATAAAAATACTGCCTTATGAAAAGTGTAATAATGTTTTTTTTATGTGTTCTAATTTTCTAACATTAGGGTGGTACGTTAGCGTGGTAAGAACTGACATTTTAAGGGTAAGTGTCACAATGGGGTGTTTGAGGTCAATCGACTTCTGAACAAAAAAAAAGTCTCTGAAGGACAAGAAGATTGATAGAGCACATAATTTAGCCATAAAATACGTACATACGTATACAAGTTTTGTGATATTTTAAGAAATCAGCAACTCTTTTCCCGTCAAACCTTAAAATATATTTAAAAATATATACGTATGTACATCATTTCATTAAACTGCCACTTGCATCCTAACTTATCTATGTTTCTTACTTATCCAATTAAATATTGCAAGACATTCTATCTATTGTCAATCCTTAATAAACGTGCAATACTAAAATTTACCAATCTTAAAAAATATATAAAAAATACTTGCCATGTACGCTGTGTTTTGGAAATTACCCATTTAAATAATATAGGTATGTTTTGTTATCACAAAAGGTAAGCTCTGATCTAATTAGCAAACTAATTCAAAAAGCTTCCAGACAACATGTTAACACAAAAAGTGTCAATAACAAAAGTGTCGCAACTATAGAAACCGAACAATGCAATATCTCAGAATAAATTGAATTGCAAATGAGGGTAACGGTTGTGGCGTAAATGACAAAAGTGTCTACATTGCCGAAATTTAACCTTAGGTCCTACGTATGGATATACCTATGCAAGTATGTGTGTAAGTTCACATGCATATATATACATGAGTTTGATTATTTACCAAAAGCAGATTGGTTACAATGTATGACCAAATAATCAGTTGTTGTTGTATTATATAGATTCGTAATAACAATTTTCGTAATGATTGTGTTCTGATTGAAATTCCAATAAGTTGAGCTTTACATAACAAGGCCAAAGTTACATACTAACATACATACATACATATTAGGGTGGCCCTTAAAACAAATAAAAAACCAAAATTTTGTATGAGACAACCCTTTATTTTGTCCTGTGTAAAAAATAAAGACACACAAGAAAATTTCAAAATTTTAAACAAATCTTTAGGACTCGCCGCTACAAGGGTTTAAAAACTAAAAAAAAAATTTAATTGCAAAAATTCGACAAAATCTTGACTTGAAATTGTATAAATTTGATATATTATTTAAACTTGTTTATATAAATACATAAACTTGCCGAGTTATAGCTGGTCCAAATCAAAACTTTTATCGAAATTTTGCGATTTAAAAAAGTATAATTTTTTTCAAATGCTGGCAGCGACACCTATTTTTTGTAAATTTTGAAATGTTCTTGGCTGCCTATATTTTGTGCGTAGAACAAAATAAAGGTGTACCCCATGATGCTAATGACCACCCTAATACATACCTAAATCTGTATCAAGTAATTTACAGATACACAGAGTTAAACAGCATTTATTTATATGCCAAAAATTGTATGAGTACATAAATAATACGGAAAGCATCATAATCAGTGTGCTAAATTCATTAGATTTGTTTGAAGACGAAAATGGATTTTACCTTAGGTGATTGTGGCGTAGGATTTTGGTTCATATACATAAATATATCTACTTTAAATACATACTTAAATATACGCATTGTATGCCCAGGGATAATTCCCACCAAACAATTTGTGTTGCCGGTAATAAGAAAACGTGTCGCCCTCGGAAACAAATTTATTGCCGGTAATATTGCCATCGAATCGATTTCCTATTACCGGTCGCTCTAAAACGTCCGCCGAAGGCAACTCGCCTGGGCGAGTCGTTTTCTTATTACCTGAATGAGTCCTTTTCTTATCGCTTCAGGCGATATTTGGAATAATTTTATTCTTTTTAATACCTCATTTATTTTTTTGTATACCAAATTGCAACTTACAATCGGAATTAATTCATTTTCTCGCTGTGAGACTTCCTATTTTTTTTCAATCTTGTCCTTGGGCATAATTTAGACGCTTTTGGCCAATACTATTGACGCCATATTCATAAGTTTCGGAATTTTTTAGAATTTTTTTATTCAAAATTGACATGAACGAAGTGATGTTGCCGATTTGTCACCACAGCAATAAATCGGTGAGTCGCCAATTTGTTGCCATTGACGATTGTTGCCTATTTCTCATGTTTTGCATGGTGGGTTGTAATGAATGGGAAATATTTTATTCTACATACGAGCATACTACATACATACATATGTATGTATGTATGTAAATGTTTTGTTGGCATTGCATGCTTGGCGCAGAAGAAATTGTGCAATCAATAAATATTCTCTAATATTTGCCAGAGGTTGAAAAAGATTCATTCACGTAGGTGACTGATTGCCATATAACCGCTTGAAGAAATTTGGTAAAATTAAATAAATCACTTCAATCAATCCTAAATTGGATTACTAGCAGATGCGTAGTGAAAATCTGAAATGATTGAGGCTAAGTCGTGACAAATTTTGCTGTTTTTACTGAGGACTACTTTGCTGCCTGGCAATTACGTCGATTGTTTTTATATAGCTCTTTCCAAAGCCATAGAGAGAGAGTAACAACAACAAACTTTCAGTTTTCCAACTCTGTGAAGTCTTGGTGTGGTATCAAGTTTGCAAAGGATACGAAGAAGCAGTAATCTCTCCATAAGCGGAGCCTTCTTCTCTACACTTACCGATGCCTTCAATGCACTGTTGAAGCAGCAAGACTTTGACGAGTGTTTGGTCAAAGGCTGTTCGGTAGCACTCAGTTAATCTAACGTCGAAAGAAATACTTTATTTCAATGTTTTAAAGTCGACACACGGCTTTATATACTAGCGCGCTGGCAGCTTGGCGTACCACAAAAATGGGGACAGAGACAGCCGAGTGAGCTGACGACAAAACGATATCGGCGATGCTAAAGACGGTGAGTAGTAGTTATGGTGAACGTCTGTGATATCGAGACTGACAGTAATCAATGTCGACGGCTTTGAGCAACGGCAAATGTCTTGGTTGGTCGTCCGATGCTTGCTGGCAACGGTGCGAGTATTAGTGGTAATCGTTAGATACACAGTGTAATCGTCCGAAAATTCCCGCTGACAGTTGGTTGACTATCCAGGGAACCTCGGTAATGGTGAATCGTCTGCTTAGGGCCGGTAGATTCACTTGCTCACCTAAGCTGTCTGCCAAAGCGGTGATCACACTACCACCAGCCCCTATTGCTGTCCACCTAAAAGCTTGAAGTGTCGGAAATAGATACAGGGAGCGTCTAGGCGAGATAAGAGGATAAGGCTTGTATATCAACGGCTCCCTCCACAAAGTAATCCATATTATAGTATCAGAATGGCGTTTTTTTACCTAGGTGTAACTGTATTGCTGCTGGTACGAAACTTGGCTTCGCTTAGTACTATGAACTTACTTAGTTTTTTGTAGTAGTACTTGGGTGTAGCCGAACAATAGACACTGCGACCTGGAGTATATTTGTCCTTTTAAAAAGAGTCCCTAATGCAAAAATCTCAGGATACTTTCGGCTCCTAAATGAATCCTGAAAGCTACATGGTAGTCAAATTACTTATGTATTACACAGTATTCGGTCATAGGAGCTTTTAAATGAATTAATTTGCGGTTGGCCAAGGCCGAACAATAACAAAGAATATGTTCCAAAGTCTCATCGTCTTTAAGACAGACCTGTCATTCTGACGGTGCGGTCACTCTCTTTCAGTCTTGATTGGCACGGTAATCGATTCGGACGAGTTCATCAAAGCACGCCACTCGTTTCTAAAGATCACACTCTGATCACAAGCTGCCCAGTTTGGGATCAAAGGCAGGGAGCCCGTTTACCCAATGTTCGCAAACTGGGATTATTAGTAGGAAGTTTCTAGCAAAAAATGCCTCTTAAGCTAGTGAATCAGAAATTTTAGCAATTCATAACCGACTTCACAAAAAGGAGAAGGTTGTTAGTTTTTCGGAATATATATATATATTTTTTTTTATGTGTGTTACCGCATAACTTTGGACCACGTTAACCGATTTCTATAATTCCTCATAAAGGAAAGGTAGTTGGTCCCATACTTATTTGGTTTAAATCCGATCATTGGATCATAAAGAAATTATCGATAATCTTAAAGTTTTATATGAGAATTGAAGTCGCTTTTGTTTTTTTGCTTAAAAATTACTTGTTAATACCGGTATCTTCCCTGCATCACGCTACTTTTTATAGAATCAATCGTTAGTGAGTCGAATTTGAAGTTGTCTTATCTGCTGTTGCCTGAATAAAAATATGAAGAGGGGTCCATCCCAGAAACAACCCTAGAGCCAAATTTGAGGTGGTAAAAATTCACTTTTGGGACTTTCTGTAAATTTGAAATTAATATATGTGTGAAGCCATGAGGTCCAAAGGGGCCGATCTACAATTTTTTATTTTTTTTTGTAATATGAGAAAGAAGGATTTTAAAAAATAAATGCGGTCTTTTACTAAAAAGTTCATTGCACCTACGTTATCCTGCATATTACAGTAAAAGAAAACTAAAAGGGCGTGCCTCGGGCTATTACAGTTTCGATACTAGAACTTTTTTTGAAATGTCAGTTAGGCTACTTTGGCCCACAAGGCCTCACACATATGACGTCCTAATGAAACAAAATAAAAGTAGTTTCGTAAAATTTGTAAAACAATTCTAAGTGTATTGCATAAATAGATATATTTAAGTGGTCAAAGCAAAAATGGCACGATATGTACTTTGTTTTGAATATCTAATATTTTCTACTACAGTTTTTGGAGACCATATGAGTAGATTTTTGCAACGTTTTCATGCACATAACTATAAATACATACACACATTAGGGCATGTCATTTTTTTTGTCTAAGTTTCTAACAAAATATGAAATTTGTCACCGCTGCGCCATCTGGCGGAAGTTTTAAGAAAAAGCTAAGTGCAGAAATGGATTCCTCATACCAAAAGACCACTTATAGCATGTTTTTATACAAATTTTAAGCACTTTTTTACGACACTACAGCAAAATGCTAAGCAGCTTATTCGCAATTTGGCAAACTCCAAATTGATTTTACCTCTTCGTTTCTGCGGCAAGTTTGCTAAAAATTACACGTAGAATCCCGCTGTGCTACATATGCGCGCATAGTCTAAAATAAATCTCCCATACAAATTGACCGCCTTAACACACATATGTATATCTATAACAATTTATCCCAAAGCATTGTAGCTGTTATGCAAACACTAAGTAAATTTCAAATTGCAGCTGTTGTAACAAAATGGCATAGCAGTAACGGATGAAAGGATGCGAGTGCACCTGAATCTATCCGCAAAAGCACATACATATGTATATACAGGTGTATTTATAAAAAAAAAGTGTGTTACGCTGGAAGCTTACCTGTCTTTATCTGATGATTTATAGCCGGAACTACCTGTAAGCAGAAATAAAAATGTGAGCAAAAATGCCAAAAAATACAAGAAATATCAGAAACACACAAAATTAAAAGCGGAGAGAAGAGAGAAGGAAAATAAAACTGTTGAATTTTTTTTGTCCAGTAAAATTTGCATAAAAATTCAATGCATTATGATAGGGAAATTACAAATTTACATGCAAATATATACATAAAGTAATTTGTACAAATCTTTTATAAAAAGTTGTAAAAATTTGTTGTTAGCTGTCAGTGGCTGGCTAGTGTTGCTGACATATCAGCAGACCCCGTCATACAAACGAGTGTGTCTACAAATTCTTCGTGCATCTTTTTCGATGGAATATGGAAATCACAACCAACCGTACAAGTATACTGATGAAGGTGGATAATTTTTGGAGTCAAAAACATACAACGCGATTCGAGTAGCTCGTGTGTGTTTTTAAGTTCCACCTAGATTTAGTACTTGTTGCCATAGCTTCGTAGTATTTTGGAGCATAGTATTGTGTCCAGTGCACTAAGAAGAGAATTTTTGGGTGAAAAAACTGTGAGCTTAACTTCAAAAAATTCCTTAAAGATAGGAGATTCCGATTTTTTTTCCTCGTAAAATGAAAAATTCCGTGGGCAAGGAGAGGTATTTAGCCTAACCGCACAAGGGGAAATTTTCGTCTAATTTTCTTCAAAAACGTTTGGAAAAGTAATTTTTTACCGAATTGAATATATTTTTTTTAAATTCTTGGAACGGATTTTAGAAAAGTTTACATAAGCCCGAATTAAAAAAAAAAAAAAAAATATATTTTGTGGTGAAAATCTGTAAAACAAAGATTTTAAAGGTGGCAAACAGATTTTTGGGAACGTTGAATTCAATTCTTATGGTAGAATCGCGAAATTCAAAATGGCTAATTCAATAAGTGGCGGCAGCTTATCTCCAAAAATGCTTAAGATAAGAAAGCATCCGCCATTTTGGATCTGCCATATTTTAACAACTGTTTTGAATTTCAGTACTCTGTTATCAGAATCGACCTCAAAAAAAAAATGTGCCAACTTAAAAATCTGCAATTTGTCACAGGGAAAAATATTACTTTTACTTAGTTGGGGTTTTTTTTTTAATTTTTCGAATTTCCCCATAGGCTGACAAAAATAATGGGGCATACTCATAGTCAAAGTAAAGTTTACTCTAAATTTAGCAGTATTTTGACATGTGCAAGAAACTGCAACTCACTTTAGAGTCGACTTTATGTCGACTATGAACATACCCCAATGATTTTTTTTATTCGGGCTTGGACCCACTATTCTAAAATCCAATTCAAAAAAAAAAAAATTATACGGATAGGTCAAAAATTGTTGATGTTTTGGCCAGATATGGGACTGATTCGCTCTGGTTATGTAGACGAACGAATGTCGTGGGAACGTGAGAAAGGAGCTAAATATTAAACTACATACGCAGGCGAGAAGATGACAAGGTGCAGGCGTCAACTCTTATGCAGGATATGGTCGAAAGAGCGCATGCCTGCCGACACTGGAACCAATCCTCAAGAAGATTGCCACTCTTACATGCGCCTTCTTTATATGGTTTAGAAGGTCTTATGGAGCCTGCAAGGCTACAGCCTATTGTCAACGAACATATTAGACCGTATTAGTGTGGATTTAGTTAGGGCAAATTCACCATTGCCCAGGTATTCACCATGTGGTAAAGACCCGCAAGAAGAAGATCACCACTCATAATTAATTTTTTTGAATTTCAAGGTCGCTTTTGATAGGACGAGAAGGAACTGCCTATACGGCTCGAGGTCTAAATAATTTGTTATCCCCGGGACACTAATACGGCAGTGTACAACGGCGTAGATGACATCGATATCATCGGCCTTAACCGACGCAATGTCTGTTCTGCCTCCTCCAAGTATAAGTTATAGCTTCGAAAAGTTAATGACTACGTTTTGTTGGAAACCAGTATTGACACCGATCACATCAGCCTCGAAATCCAATGAAGAACCTCACTTGCCACCAAGTGATACATCCGACTGAGTAGCAAAATTAGAGGAAAAGTCTCTGCCATGGTACAAAACTACACCTCATAAATTACTCATCATGTCCCACCAGCACGGACAGAAGCATTGACATTGAGGGTTCCCTTGGAGCAATCGAAGGAATGATGATCTTTACACGTTAACGACGGCGAGTACTGATGACAATAGAACAACAAGTTGTAAGATGGGTCATGCGGTATTAAACGCAGAATCCAGTGGTGGTAGCATAAGAAGAGAAAAGCCTTCTCTGCCATTTCCTACTGACATCAGTTAGCATAGAAGAGAAACGACTACCGAATAGGACTAAGCCAAAATCGCTTAGGCGTCAGACTGCGTCAGACAAGCACCATCTAATTCATTAGCTTAGTCATTAATAAAACACCAAGAATGTGACGACGACTGTGTTGGTGACTTTGTAAACTTCAAGTGATTTCTGTTTAAATATTCATTAGTAAGAAACGAATCTTTGGCAATAAAATCACAGCTAAGTTCTTGCGAAAAAACTGTTTGTACTTCTCAATCTATCAATCTACTTAAGGACGATTTAACTAGTAAAAAAAAAGAATAGTCCCAAGCCAATTGTCCCGCATTTTCAAATTTTTTATTTATGTTGTTTATCCAGAGTACGAGCGATATGTTTGTACTTGCTACATGGTATGAAAGATTATTGTCTTAGGCAAAGAGCTTCGGTTAACTCTTTAGTTTGGTTGTATACGAGTGGCTTAATGAGCTTGAGATTACTCACGGAACCCTCATTCCGGAAACATATGAATCCTCCTAATACTTAGGATAAAATACTTGTGGAGCTTCCCAGATCTCATACTCTGCCGATTGTTCGATATAAGCATACGGAAATGGAATCAATGACTTGTGTACAAAATTTCTCACTTATTCATTGGACGAAGCCTAACCTTCTCCTCGGCGAAATCAACAGCGACTCCTTTATCACCTGCACAAACGGTACATAACCGGAAAATTCTAGGGGTTATCTTTTAAAATTGCCCTCCTTCTCCTCGCACACAACAGTAATTGTCACAGAGCCACACAGTTACTACAGAATGCCTTCTAATGTCGCCTGAACAGCTCCTGCATAGTGAGGAATCAATGCCCAAGTTCTACAGCACAACCTATATAATGCTAAGCAAGGAGCATCCAAGCAGACACTTGCAAAAGGTAGAGTTTCCTCCGAAACGCGTTAGAAAGCGTCTTTTTGAATATACGGACGCGAATAAGATGTACCTGAAACAACCGTTACATCCGTTGGGGTACCGACAAGCTAAGACGAAATTTACAGGGAGACCGTCACTACTTGCAGTGATTCTCGCCACATAAATGCCCCAGCTGCCATGGAAAACTCGCGCTACTCTGGGCCAGTAAGGTCTGGACATCTGGTCACATAAACCCACTCAGCTAACACCCCTTTTGGTACAAGTTTCCTGCGCCTAACGTTAGTCGAGTTTGACGAAACGATGGTCTAACCAACTTAGGCTGGGCTTACCAGTGCCGCCATAACATCAAAACTAAAAACTTTTGGAATTCAACTAAACTCATTACGTTCTTAATGATAAGCTCATTCTTAAAGAGTTTTTAAATGGAATTGAATCTCTACTTCCATTTACACTTTTGCCCTTTATACATATCACCCACTCATCTGGCCTTGCTTTTGTTTTGCTTCCACGCACTGCAGCTACGCACATTTTTGAGTGTAAATTAAATTTGACAGACGCACCAACGTGCAACTGACAAACGTTGTATGTGCACATCCGCCAGGTATAGATCAGCGCATTTGGTATGTAGTTATTTGCGCAACACACACGTAAACTTTTTTCTTTTTTCCACACATTCACGCGCACGTACTTGATATGTTTGTGTTGCGATTGTGATTTCCTTTGCAGTACCGTTGTTGCCAAATTGACAGCATGATTGACAGTTAAGGAATTAGTGTTGCCACTTCGATTGATATGGCACACGTGGGACGAATGCAGTGTTGGATTGTTGCGTAAGCGGAATAAGAAAGCATGTAGTGGTTCTAAAAATATAAATTTTTATAAAACGCCTCAAAGTAGGCAAACGTCCGATTGGATACCTGACATTGTGGCACACGAAAGGTTGTACGCCAAACGCATGCAAAAAAAATTTCATAATATCGCGCTTTTTTCAAACATTTTTATTTATTTTCAATACTAATGCGTAGGTGTATTTTAACCAGGTAAACCTTAATATATTTTTGCAGATTATCTGTGCGCAAAGTATAAAACTATATTATACACTGGTGGCAGAAATAATAGACTTGCCTTATCTTAACCAGTTTTGGCTAGGTATTTGAACCTGGTGACTAAGTGGTCGCTGAATCGCTGACTTGCCTATAAATCGTAGTATGACGGACCTCCTCTTATTCACTAGGAAGTGCATTAGGGCTTCTATACTGCAGAAGGAGGGCAGTAGGTAAGAGCTTTAGATGATCTAGTACTCTTGAATACTTCAATAAAAGTGATCATTGCGTGGTTTGAGTGAAAGCAATGAGCTCATCCTCCTTCAGGATGTGCTGATGTGAGGCGGAAGTCCAAGTTTGACAGTAGGGTTGCTGCAGGGTGCTCTTTTAAGGAGCTAAAGCGGCCCAGCTTTGAGGCTAAAGAATACTACACTAATTTTCAATTAAAAATAGCTGCCATGAAGGAAGCAGTCGATTGAATGTACAACTACGCGACGTCGGTAAGGGAGGAAGACACCTACTCTCATAGCCAATTGACCATCAGAAATTTGTGCTCGTCCACGGTGTGCTCAAAGCTAGTAAGTAAGCTAGTCGCGTCTCGGTATTTCCTTGTTACAGTTATATGGATACGCCATAGATGCTTACTGCGGCAAAGTTAACTCAACACTTTCCTTTAAGCTGCACAGCTTTGGCGAGATTTGTTGGTTTAAGCGAATTGTCACCCTGGTGACAAGCAATTAGCAGGTTTCGTATAGAAAGTGTTCGAT